CTCCGGTCTCCCGCCTGCATGAGCGCCACGATGGTGTTGGTGATTGAGGTCCCAATGTTGGCCCCCATGATGATGGGGATGGCTGCCCGCACGGTCAGCACTGGAGGGAGGAAAGCGGCATTAGCAAGTTTAGGAAGGCAGCCTGGGCAGGTGCCCACAGGGCCCAAGACAGGCTGGACTCATCCCTGCTGGTGATCCCCCACGCAGAAGTGCTCGTCCTCTATGGGGTCATGGACCGCACCTCAAATCTGATAAACTCTGGGGCGTGTCAACATAGAAACATGCGTGTGTGCAAAAAAAAATGCCTGCATGCAATTTGGGGCAATCCACAGATCCCTGAAAGCCCTTCCACTGACCTCACTTTAAAATGCCTTTCTCAGTTCCTCCTCCTCCCATCACAGAGGCAAGGGCCTCTCAAAGGAGAGCGGGAAGCGGTCAGTGTTTAAGGACTTTGGTGGATGACCTCACAGGTACAGTTGAGTCAGCTGTACACAGCACAAAGTCTCATCTTTATAGTTATATCATTTCCATGAAACTTTTCTGTTTACTGAGCACATTTCTGCCATGATAATTCTTTTTCTATCAAAATCAGCATATCACCTGAGATATGCAAGCAAAATATTTCAAAGACGAAATTCCTTTTTTGAATAGAACCCAGAAAAGGTCTAGTTAAATTTTGGCTAAAATGTTGGTTTGGGCTGAAAAATAATCAAACAGTCAAACTCGTCCCCCTCAGAGGGTCTACCCAACTTTGGTAAAGAAAGAATCAGGCAGGCGCAAGGCTGAGTGTCATCTCCCCAAGCTCAGGTGTCCCACAGACAGTGTGCACTGTGATTAGATGTCTTTAGGCTTCATACTGACTGTGCCCGTCCCGGACACCTTCCTGCAGTGACGGGAATGTTCCCCGTCTACACAGTACAGTAGAGTAGCTGCCAGCCACGTGTGCAGCTGAGGAAGTGCATTTTATATTTTAAATTTAAATCAATTACAATTCCAGGAAATTCAACAGCCACATGTGGCTACTGGCTACTTGGCTGGACAGGACAGTTCCAGAGAACTCAGAACTGAGCCCGGAAGCATTGAGGTTCATTTCCAGATCCAGCCATGGAAATGGACACAGGAAGGTGCCTGGGATGGAGAGTGGAACACAGCACAGTGGGTCCAGGTGGAGAGGAGTCAAGGGGCATGTTCAGAGTGCATTCCAGACTCACGTGAGGAGGCCACCATGCTGACGATGATGGATGAGGAGGTGCTGGAGCTCTGCACCAGGACGGTCACCAGCACCCCGATCACCAACCCAGCCACAGGGTTCGACATAATGGAGTTGTTGCTGAAGAACTGTCCGGCCACCTTCCCTGAAAGACAAATGGCCACCAAATGACTGGGAGCTGAGTGGACAGAAGCCCCGTGGAGGCCAGCTGTGCACTGTCAGCCCCTGGCTCCTCTCCCCCTCCACCCTGCGCCCTCCCATCCCCGAACAACTCCCCAAGTCAACAAGCCCTTTTCCAGTTCTCTTCCACCATGAACCTGGCCTCAACTCTGCACTGGGCCCAGGGGCGCCAGTGAGCTTCCCAATACCCTAATCTCTCTGCCCTTGGGATGTATCCCTAGTTCAGAAGATGTAACCTCTAAGAGTGAATTTTGCTTCTCCTTCTACCAACAACCTTAGTCCCAGCCCATAACTAAAAGCTGGGAGAATGATTTTCCAGAGTGTGCCTCTGAGACCATCCATTCCCTGATCCACTGTTTAAAGAAGACCAAGGACCAGACTGATGTGTCTGAGATGATCAGAGAGCAAAGCCCCTTCCTGACACTGCCATGGACCAGGAGGGGGACAAGTAATGTCTAGAAAGTCAGTTTTCCCCTCATGCCCCATTACAAACACCCTCTCTCTGACCAACTATTCCCAGACCCAAAGATGGGGTCTCAAGAGAAGGATCAAGCAGGTGGAGGATCCATAGACCTTGTGCCACCTGGATGTGAGACCGAATCCTACTATTCTGATCCCAGGCTGTGAGTCTCAGGGCCAGTTAGTCATCTCTGAGCCTTGTCCTCTCTGTAAATGGGAAGGTCTTGGCAGGGAAGGCCTGTGAGAAAACTCCCTAGTAGGGACTCAGAGTGCCAAGGACAAAGGTAACCACCCACGTGGTGACCTCACCCTGCACGTCACTCGCTGCTTAGACTCTCTCAGTCCCCAGAGACATGGGGGCAAGCACAAGGCATGCAGGGTCCCCAGCCTGGGGAACCCTCTCAGCCCCCCAGCAAGGGCTCAGCTTTGACTTCTGAACCTGCTGTGTCATAGCAGCTATGGACTGAGAGGTGCTCTCCTGTCCTAGAATCTCCTATGGCAGGGACAGGCCCAAGGACACCAGGGATCCCTCAGGTAAGTCTCATTGTCAAATAGTGTCCTGACTAGGGGGTGTGGACAAATGGCTTGGAATAGGTGGCAGCCCTGGCTCCTGGCTAAGCCACCTGAGGCCAGGCCTCTGTGTTCTCTTCTATATGATGGGAGACTTGGGCCTCATGAGATGACCTGAGTCGGGTTCCACTCCTAAAACACTCCAGAGGCTGCAGCTGGGAAGGGTTCCCCTGGTTTCTCTGTCCCAAAATGAATCTTGAGACCCCTGACCCGGCCCGCTGTGCCCTCCTCCCTACCTCCAACCAGCTGGAACGCGCTGCTGAGGACATCCAAGGAGCACACGAACATGTAGAGAAACCCCAGGAGCAGAAGAAATTTCCCGATGCCTTGGAAGACACAGAGGATCTTCCCTTTGGTGTCCCTCTCTGTGCGGGAAGCAGAGAGAAAGGCATGATGGCTTCTAGTGTCTGAAACTCTGAGGTTTGGCAATGAACTCCCCCACCATCATCCCAGCCTGGAGGCCATGAGCTTTTCGTTCTAGCAAGGCTCAGACAATGGGTGTGTCCCGCACTGCTACACTCAAAGCAGTTCCCATGGGGGCCCATTTAGTGGAGACTATTGTGAATTGTCTCTGTGGGGTGTGCAGGTGGGGGAGGGGCGCAGTGTGGTCTGGGACCCAGAAAGGCAGATGAGGCCCCATGCTCAGCTGAACCGCGGTGCCACTGAGTGAGGCACTTAAGAGCGCTGGCCACCTGCTAAGTGCAGGGTCAGAGATAATGGCTCTCCAAAGCACCTTCGGAATAGCACAGAGGATTTTCTAGAATGTGGTTGCACGGTAGCAATAACAGCCTCCATTTGTGCAGGGCTTGGGGCCTCATGCATCCTGGATGCTGGGTGTTCAGCTGCTGTTTTCTCCACTCACTTTCAGACATTTCTCCCTCCTCCTTCCTCTCTCTCACCCCCTCCAGCCTCCTTTCCCCTCCTGACTGCCCGGTTCATGGACAGACCCTGTGTCCTACATTCACTTGGGAAAGAAATGTGGTGCTTGTTGTACCCCCTCTGTCCTGCCAGACATGGTGTCTGGGTGAGGGCACCCCTCTGAGAAGCTCTCTGATAGTGGGCCCTGGTCTGTCCCCCACGGGTTCCACAGCACTGTCACCAGTGCCTGGAACGTCATCAGCACACAGTGAATTATCAGGAACAAGGCAGCTCAGTGCGGGCACATTTGTTCAATCAAAGAAAAAACAAGAAATTCCCCAATCACTGGGTGGCATCTGTGGCTCAGTGGGTAGGGCACCAGCCCCATATATCTAGGGTGGCAGGTTCAAACCCAGCCCCAGCCAAACTGCAATAAAAAAATAGCCAGGCGTTATAGTAGGCACCTGTATTCCCAGTTACTTGGGAGGCTGAAGCAAGAGAATCGCTTAAGCCCAAGGAGTTGGAGGTTGTTTTGTGCTGTGACACTCCGGCAGTCTACCAAGGGTTAATGAGTGAAAGTCTGCCTCAAAAAAATATATATAAAATAAAAATAAAAAAAGAAATTCCCCAATCACTATGTTGTGCTGTGTCTCAACCTCCAGGACAGGAGCTAGCGTCCCTCTTCAGGATGACTGATGACATTCCTGGGTGACAGTCCCCCTCCTGCCTGCCTGCCCTCACTTGTACCTGACCACTTGATCCCAGTGTCCCGAAGTGCAGGCAGGTCCCAGGGGTCATCCACCTCTGTGGGCTCCTCTATCAGTGTCACCGTGGAGTAGGATGGCAGAAGTTCAATCTTAGTGACAGGGGCCTTGCTGCCATCTGCCCAAACAAGGCACAAAAGCCATGAAGAATCACATCTGAGACACTCCACGTCCTTAAAGAAGGCTGGACTGGGAGTGGGTGAGCAGCACTTACTTTTGTGGGTGCCCTTGCCTTTGTCAGTGGTGGGGGACTGCTGACTCGAGGCCTCTTCCATGTAGTCGCTGGGATTGGGCTGGGCATTTTCCAGCTCAGGCCAAGGAGCCATGTTCTGTGGAGGAGAAGGCAGCTTTAGTGCAGGCATGGGAAGGAGGTGCACCTGTTGTCTAAAGATGGAGACCCTTCGGTCACATAGCTGTAGCTCAGGGAGTGAAAGGAAGGACAAGGTGCCATGCTGGTGCCTCCTGGTGTGGGATCTCATCCGCCATGTCTCACTCCTCTGTGGTGCCCTCTCAGCCACTCACCAGGCTGTCACTAAAGCAAACCACTGAGATGAGTCAACAGCGAACCTTCCTACAACCCCATTCAGGGCATGTGATATGTAAGCACCTCCCCGTGTGTGCTCAGGTACATCCTATCTGCTTTTCCTACCACCAGGGTCATGTGTAATGCATGACACATCGGATCAAGTTTAAAATCTAGCACTGCTGGCCAGGCGTGGTGGCTCACACCGGTAATCCTAGCAGTCTGGGAGGCTGAGGTGGGAGGTTCCCTTAAGCTCAGGAATTCAAGACCAGCCTGAGCAACAGTGAGACCTTGTCTCTGCTAACTAAAGAAAACTTAATGAGGTGTTGTGGTGGGGACCTGTAGTCCCAGCTATTCAGGAGGCTAAAGCAGGAGGATCTCTTGAGCCCAGGAGGATCTCTTGAGCCCAGGAGTATCAGGTTGCTGTGAGCTAGGCTGATGCCATGGCACTTCACCTGGGTGACAGAGTGAGACTCTGTCTCAATATAAACACACACTTACATACATATGTAAACAGGGTAAAATCCAGCAGTGCTGCTTGTGAGTGGGTGTGTACAGACAAGTCCCTTCTTGCCTCTGAGCACAAATGCTCAATTTCTGCATCTAAAAAATTGGAAAAAAAACTTTGTTCCCTGCAGGATTATGAGAATAAACATGATATGACATTAATGATGGTATTAAAGGTTGGAAAAGTGACTGCCATCAACCAGGTATCCAATAAATAGTAGCAGTTATTACCACGCCATGCTGCCTGGATTAATGGCTCTTTGTTCGAGCCACATTCTTTCCAGGCTGCAGTAAAATCTCCCCGTAACCCATTTTCTCCACAAAGCCTTTCTCAGTTACGTGGCTCTGGACACACCTGACAGTCCAGTCCTGGCAGTCCTTTGAAGCATATTAGACAAAGCTGCCCAAAGGCCCAGCAATTCACAGGCAATTTACAAAAAACAAACACAATGGATAAAATACCTATTGAAAAATAAGAGCTTGGCCTCACTAGCACTCCACCATATGTGAGTAAAAACAAAGATAGATTAGCAAAGAAGTAAACAAAAAATTAAAATGTGACACGCTATGCTGGAGAAGATGTTGTGAGATAAGCACTGCTGGAAACTCTGGAAAACAGTTGTTGAAATGTCTGAAGTCCTTACATTTATCGTACACCTGTGACCCAGTAATTCCACTTCTAGGAATTAGGAATCTCAGAACATGTGCTCTCAGGACATCAGAAACACCTGACTTGCCGTAATCACCTCTTCCAAGAAGGCCTCCTAGAACTGAGTCTGACTCCTTCCCTCTTTTTTTTTTTTAATCAACCTAACTCCCGTGTACTGGAATGCGAGTCCTACAGAAAAGGGTCTTTGGTCTGTTCCTCCCTATATCCTCAGGGCCTGGGCACATTTACAATGTATAGTAAATATTTACTGATAAAATGAATGTGATATGCACCAAAATGACATTTGCTGCTGTCATTTATACAGCTCAGAGATTTAAAAAATAAAGAAAATATACAACCTTTGGTGTATCTAGGCAGGATAACAGCATGACATCAACAAGGTTATAAAGAATAAGTAAAAACAGAGTTAAATGCTTTAAATAAACTGAATAAAAGGCTTTTTTGGGTCCCATTTACAGCATTCTCTCAACAAGATCCAGAAACGTTCCGTGGAGTTCAGAGTGGACAGTGACATTGTGGGTTGTATGCTTCTAAAATTTCCAAAGTCTTACGTGATTCTTCAAACAAAGATGCAGCTTAACCCTCAAACCTGCAAATGTAAGGCCATTTCAGGGATACCTATATTGTTTCTGTCACTCATGTTGACAAAGCTGGAGGCTAGAAGTGGCTGACTCTGTGAGCCCCATCACAGGGGCTTTCATCAGCTTGCTGAGCCCAGGGAAGCCTTTCTTGACTCTGCCCACATGGCCGCAGGGCTTGGCACGTGCTCCTGTGATTGACGGATCATCATCTCCCAGTCACTACTTTCCATAAAGTCACATAGCAGGTCTTTGATTCCAGTTTAAT